GTCTGTGTCTGTGTCTGTGTCTGTGTCTGTGTCTGTGCCTGTGTCTATGTCTGTGTCTGTGTCTGTGTCGGGGTGTGTGCGACACGTTCGCCATAACGTGGGCCAGCAGGTGCCGAGCCAACACGCAGCGTGTCAACACAGGCGTTTTGAACACGGCACGCGTTGCGTTTCAAAACGGGCGGGAGCGCGAGGGAGAGCGGGGGGAGCGGGGCGGCTTGAACAAATCCGCCGACCACTTGTGGGTCTCTAGGCGTGTGAAATTGTTCCCCTCCCATAATAAGTACCCCCCCAACAAGGACCCCAAACCGGCAATTTGACCCCCACCTTCGGGCCCGGGACGATCGCCCGCCGAACTCACCCGGGGGGGTCCGGCCCTCCCCGGGCCCCTTCTGGAGCGCGAAGACAGCTCCTGAGACCTCCGACGAGGCCCCCCAAACGGTCCAAAACGGCCCCGACTCGCCGACAGATCGTTCCAAGATGGCCTCCCCACGGCTCAAGATGCTTCCAAGATGCCCCGAGAGTCCTCTAACAGCCTCCCCCAGGGGGCAGTCAGAAGACAAAATCGTCCCATTTCTAACAGATCCGACACTGTGGCTTTCACTACGTCCTAGACGCGCCGGGAAGCCCCCACGAGGGCTCCAGGACGGCACCAGATAGCCCCAAGACGGCCAAAGACGGGCAAAGAAAACCCAAGCCGGCCGAAGAAGGCCCCAGAACGGCGGGACGGTGGAAGTTTGTTTCATCCGCTTTTGTTTCGTCCGATTTTGTTTAATCCGCTGTTGTTTCGTCCGTCTTTTGTTTCGTCCGCTTTTGTTTCATCTACTTTTGTTTCGTCCGCTTTTGTTTCGTCCGCTCTAGTTTCGTCCGCTTTTATTTCGTCCATTTCGGTTTCGTCCGCTCTGTTTTGCGCGATTCGTGTGGAAGCTGGGGGGATCAAAACTAGATGAATGCAAACCGGACGAAATAAAACCGGATGAATTTAAACCGGACGAATAAACACCGGATGAGTTTAAACCGGACGAAATAAAACCGGATGAATTTAAACCAGACGAAATAAAACCGGATGAGTGGAAAACCAAACGAGTTAAAACCGGATGAATTTAAACGGATGAATTAAAACCGGATGAATTTCAACCGGACGCACTGCAACCGGATTAATTTCAACCGGACGCGTAAAAACACATGGATCCAGCTCTGGGAAACCATGCTAGATACCCCCTTGGTGGCCTGGACACGTAAAAACACATTGTGCCAGCTCGGGACAACCATGGTAGATACACCCCTGGGTGGCCTAGGTTGCTTGGCCACTTTAAAACCATGGTCTTGCTCGGGACAACCATGTAAAAACACATGGTGCCAGGTTGGGACAACCATGTTAGATAAACCCCTGAATGGCCTGGACATGTTGAAACACGCGGTCATTGCTCTTAGATACCCCCATGGGTGGCCTGGACACGTAAAGACACGTGGTTCCAGTTCGGGGCAATCATGTCAGATACCCCACTGGGTGGCCTGGACAAGTAAAAACACGTGGTTCCAGCTCGGGACAACCACGTTAGATACCACCTTGGCTGTCCTGGGGCCTCGTGGGGCATCCTGAAGAAGGCCAATATACATGAACATATGTAAAAACATACGGATTCATGTCCCTGGAGAGGGCCAATCTATAGGAACACATGAAAAACACGGATTCGTGCCCCTTACCCAAATTTGTCCCGCACATTGTGATTTATCGATCGGGATTTCAAACACCAGCGTTTCGCTAGGGAGATGTTCCCACGCCGAATGGGACTCTACTTTGTTACTCAAAGCCAATAATTTCGCCGGCCGAAGCCGGAGGGAAACAAAACAATACTACAAGAAAGCCTTGGGCCCGCGCCCTTTCCGGGAACATGATCGACCCACGAACCCAGAAAGGAATGTAGAAGTGTAACGCATGGTAACGTTTCAAATACACCTAATTAGGCGACGGGCAAAAGCAATGCTGAGTCTATCGATCTTGATGTATCGTGCCGAGGGCTGCGCTGTGCTGCGCCGTGCTGAATTACGATGTGCCATGCCGCGATTGTGCTGAATAGCGTTGTGGATCGAGTCCTCCTTTGCATCCGAGTCCTGACCGAACTGATCTGGATCTGAAGCTCGAGCTGCCTGAGCACATCGTAGCTGCACCAGAGCTACTTGACAAGGGGACATGCAAGCAGGACGCGCCGCGGAACGTCCCATGGGACGCGCCAAGCGACGTGCCAGGGGGCCCTCAGGGCCTTCCAGGAAGGCCCAGAGCAGCACCCGAGCCATGGCGCACGAGCCCCCCCCCCCCCAGCTGGCGGACCTGCAGCGCTGGGGGGCCCGGCAGCGGCCCGCGCGGCGCCGCCCGCGGCGCCCGCGGCCAGGGCTGCCGCGGCCAGGGCAGGTATCTTCCTGGCTCGCCATCGCTCGGACGTCCATTCCCCGTGCTTTCTTCGGTGTCGTGCGTGGCTTGTTCGCCAAATGATCAAGGATGCTCCTCGAGTGTCCTCGCCGAAGGAAAAATGCACACGTCCGAGCGATGCCAAGGTAGTGGCGAAGGCGACCAGCAGGAGCGACAGAGGACCGACGACCGCGGCGCCCGCGGCGGGAGCTGCCGCGGCCAGGACGGGCAGCCTCGCAGACAGCCGGCGCCTCGAGACTGATGGGCGGCTCGGAGCCAGAGGCCAGAGAGGGGACAGGAGGATGAAGCCCAGGATCAAGGGGGGACAGCATGGAATCAGAACCGGGCGAAGCAAGATCCAGATCGGACTCAACTGGCGTGAGCCGGATTCGACCGAGCTTCGAACGTGGCTATTCCAGCGCCGATTCAGAATTTAGCCTCTCAAGAGTTGCATCAAAAGATACAGTCGGGATGCTGCATTAAGGAACGACAGACAAATACCGAAACTGTGTAGTTGAAAAGCCAGCCGTCTACCATGTACTTTCTCCTCTGCACATTCTCGTCACCATTGTTCGCATTCTGACAACTCCCACGCAAGCACTCCCACGGCATCAACCGCACGACTCGCACTCCAGATTGCGCTGTGCGCAAGCACGCGCGAAGTGAGCACCACCCACGAACACGGATTTGGGAAGCTTCCTCCTGCAAATACCCAAACGCTCATACGCTTGCCGGTTGCGCGACGTGAAGCCGGCGCCCACGCAGTCCGCGCATACCACCTCCCTTTCCTTCGTTTAGCGTTCCGTCTCCTGTGCACCACTTATGGGGTCCCGCCACGGGAGCCCCTTCTTGCAGGACGCGAGGGTCAGCTCTCGCTGAAGCCGCTTTGCCACATCGGCCACGCCTTTCGCGCTGACCCCCCGTCTGTTACACGGTCCATAGGACGCCTTTCGCGCGGTCGCCTTTCGGACGCCCCCAAGAACAATAGGAAACACACTGCACTCAAGAGGGGTCAGCGAATGTGGCTTACGCGAATCGAACAAATAACACAACTGTTTGTTTACGAAGGAACCACGGAGGGACCACGGAGGGACCAAGAGGGGACGACGGAGGGAAGGGACCACGGAAGGACCGAGAAAGGACCAAGAATGGATCACGGAAGGACCAAGAAGGGACTGGAAAGGACCACGGAGGGACCACAGAGAAACCACGGAGGCACCAACACAGAGACCACGGAGGGACCACGGAGGGACCAAGGAGGGACCACGGAAGGACCAAGAAGGGAACACGGAGGGACCAAGAAGAAACCAAAAAGGGACCACGGAGAGACCACGAGGAAGCCACGGAGGGAGCACGAAGGGGCCACGGAGGGATCACCCGACAACGTCTGTCCCCAGGAAGCCCCCAAGACGGCCCAAAACGCCCCCCAGAGGCCCCTAAGAAACCCCCGAGAGGCCTCCAAGAGGCCTCCAAATAGCCCCAGAGAAGCTCTCAAGAGACCCCAAAACGACTGAACTGTGCGTGCTCTGGACGCGCACCCCGGGAAACGAGAGGAATAATTCACGAAACTGTTTGTGTTCGAGTCCAGTCGTAAAATTCGAAGAAACGGTCGGGCCCCTTTTTGGCAGCGTTCCGCTATGACCTGACCTCGTGGTTGGAACCTCGAAGGGGCTCACCACCAAAAGGGCAGCAGAACGCAGGCAAACCGAAGGAACCACCGAGCCCCTTGAGACCTCGAACTGGACCTTATCTAGAGGCCTCCTAGGTGGGGTAGGAGTAGGAGTAGATGAGGTCGGAGGATCGCGCCGCATCGCCGATACGTCGGCGATGTATCGGCGACGCATCGGCGATGCAATGTCGACACCGGTGATGCATCGGCGACGTCGACGTGAAGCACATCGGGCTGCACATCGAGCCGCATCGGCGATGCATCGGCGATGCGGCGCGATCCTCCGACCCCACTTTCTCCGACCCCATCTAGGAGGCCTAGATTATCTCAACGAGCCGACTGCAGCGATGCCGCTGCCCGTCCCTCGCGGCCAGGGCTGCGCTCGCCTCGGCAACACTGGCGTCGACGGCAGCGACGACGGCGCTGACGCCTTCGAGACGGCCGCCGTGCAGACTCTCCCGGGCGCCACACACGGAGTCCGTCCTTCGCACCACCACTACGACAGATAGGACAGGGGATGGGAGGTCCTCCTCCGCCTGCTCCTCCTCCTGCCCCTCCTCCTCCTCCTCCTCCTCCTCCTGCCCCTCCTCCTCCTCCTCCTCCTCCGCGTCCTCCTCCTCCTCCTCCTCCTCCTCCTCCTCCTCCTCCTCCTCCTCCTCCTCCTCCTCCTCCTCCTCCTCCTCCTCCTCCCTCTCCCACCTATGGTCCATGGTAGTGGTGGTGGCAATTCGGCCCTTCCTTCCGCTCTCACCGAGGCCTCCCTGGGTGGCTCTGGATCTCTCCCCGAGCGCTCCTGGAGCGGCGCTGCCCCCTGGCATGCCGCCGCGGCGCCGCGCGCAGCTCGGGGGCGCCCCACGCGGGCCACATCGCCGCGCTCGCCTGCCCAGAGGCGCCCCTCCAGCGGGGAGGCCCCCCGGCGCGGCT